AAATGTATATACATATGTGTGTATGTATATATTTCTTAAACATTTTCTGATTAAATACATGTGAGTCTCAGTAATAGTGTAAGTACAAATTAAACTCAAAAAATTGTTTTCATCATTTTTCTCTACTGGTTCCCTAGTACCTGCTGCTGCTGCTGCTAACTCACTTCAGTTGTGTAGCCTAACCCTAATTCTAACCCAGTTTGCATTTTAAAACCCTTCTTCCCTTGCAAGGATTTCACAAACAAGAATTAATCTGATGTATTAACTAGTGAAATTAATCAGGATCTTTTCCACTAAACCAGAACATGTGGTCATCCATTCATATCTATCTGTTGTTCAATTAGTTGCCTTGGAAATTTTAAGCACTTAATATACTTGGCAAAGATAATCATGACTTCCATCCTTCCACTGTGGTTATCTGTAAACCAAGATGGTTTGAAGGGGTCCCATATCTTGGACTAACTTTAGAGAGATTTCTTCCTGACAATATGCCCTTGACTCCCTTAGAAATTTTAGTTGAGAAACCTTGTGATTGTTCATCCTTTCTCTGCTCTTGTGATATGGAAATCTTCTACAACCCAGAAATGTTTTGCTCAAAGACCTGGGAGTTACCCCTATGGAATCTAGTCATCTAAGATAATGCACCTACTTCCCAGTCTGAGAAGGCAGCAGCCCAAGATTGTTCAGTCCAGTTCAGTTCAGTCTCTCAGTAGTGTCTGACTCTTTGTGACCCCATGGACTGCAGTATGCCAGGCTTTCCTGTCCATCACCAACTCCCTGAGCTTGCTCAAACTCATGTCCATTAAGTCAGTGACACCATTCAACCATTCACCCTTTGTCATTCCCTTCTCCTGCCTTCAGTCTTTCCCAGCATCAGGGTCTTTTCCAATGAGTCAGTTCTTTGCAACCGGTAGCCAAAGTATTGGAGCTTCAGCTTCAGCATCAGTCCTTCCAATGAATATTCAGGACTGATTTCCTTTAGGATGGACTGGTTGGATCTCCTTGCAGTCCAAGAGACTCTCAAGAGTCTTCTCCAGAACCACTGTTCAAAAACATCAGTTTTTCAGCACTCAGCTTTCTTTATAGTGCAACTCTCACATCCATACATGACTACTGGAAAAAGCATAGCTTTGACTAGATGGACCATTATTGCCAAAGTAATGTCTCTGCTTTGTAATATGCTGTCTAGTTTGGTCATAACTTTTCTTCCAAGGAGCAAGCGTCTTTAAATTTCATGGCTTCAGTCACCATCTGCAGTGACTTTAGAGCCCAAAAAAATAATCATTAACAAGATTCTTAACATGTGACAATTAGCAAACACAGGTGGCCTCATCAGGTTGACCAGACTTCCCCCTAATGTCCTCTAGCACTTTTCCACAAACTCACTCTGGCAATTAAAAATTCTTCTTCCGTCCAGCAGAGTTGAGTTCAATCTCTCTTCTACTATAAGAATCTTGAGTAGAAGACTTGACCTTATTGAAATAGTCTTGAATAAAGTCATCATTGACACTTTTAACAAGTGTCCAATGCAGTTTTGCTTTTGCATCACTTAAGTTTCTTCTCTCTCCTATTTTTGCACTATTTACACATACATTGTTGCCTGTCTTTTTTTATCTATCTCAATATTTTTGAAAAAAATTTAATAAGAACTGTGATTTGCAGGTTGCATCTCTTGAAACCAAAATAAATGAATAAAAAATAAATAAAGGGAAAAGAGAAATGAGGCAAGTTCCCAATGTGACTTTTGCAAAGGATACAGTATAAATGTAAGAAGCTTATTAAGTTATGAGTACTAATTTAATATTCTCATAGTCTAAAGGAGATGTGGAGGACAGAGGAGCCTGGCATGCTGCAGTCTATGGGGTGTAAAGAGTTGGACACAACTTAAGGAGTGAACCACAAGTCTAAAGGAGAGCTTACAAATTGGATGGTAGTAGGCTTGAGGACGGAAACGGAAATGGCAACCCACTCCAGTGTTCTTGCCTGGAGAATCCCAGGGACGGCGGAGCCTGGTGGGCTGCCGTCTATGGGGTCGCACAGATTGGACACGACTGAAGCAGCGCAGCAGCAGCAGCAGGCTTGAGGATAGATTTTATTTGACCCACTCAGTGCGCCAAAAACCAGACACATTTTCACATAGTGAAGTGAAGTGAAGGTCTCTCAGTCATGTCCAACTCTTTGTGAGCCCATACAGTCCATGGAATTCTCCAGGCTAGAATACTAGAGTGGGTAGCCTAGCCCTTCTCCAGCAGGTCTTCCCAACCCAGGAATCAAACTGGGATCTCCTGCATTGCAAGTGGATTCTTTACCAATTGAGCTATCAGGGAAGCCCAATTTTGTTTCCCATAAATTTCACATAAATTTTCAGGTTTCTAGCATCTTAAGCACATTGTGTAATTTCCCAACCCTAGATATGCATTCCAGCAAGGCAGAGGAGTCAACTGAGGAAGCAGAATAACAGTAGCCTTCATTCAGAGGTAACTTATAAAAGATCTGGGGATTCCCTGGTGGCTCAGGGCTTCCCAGGTGGCACTAGTGGTAAAGAACCTGCCTGCCAATGCTGGAGACGTAAGCGGAGTCAGACATGACTGAAGCAACTTAGCACATAGCACTGGTGGCTGAGAAGGTAAAGAATCTCCCTGCAATGCAGCAAACCCAGGTTCAATGCTGGAGTCAGGAAGGTCCCCTGGAGAAGGAAATGGCTAACCACTCCAATATTCTTGCCTGGGAAATTTCATGACAGAGAAACCTGGTAAGCTATAGTCCATGGGGTCACAAATATTCGGATATGACTGAGCATCAAGCTGTATTGAGCATATAATATATTCATTTCTGCTAAATACTTAAAGTAATAATTGACCTCTGATGAAATATTTTGAGTTTCTGGCTTCTAAGAAATGGGCACTTTATTTTTCTTGGCTTTATAATATGTTAGCAAAGCTAATAAACTTTTAGACCACTCATATTTTATACAGAATTTTAAAGTGGTTTTCCTTTTTTTATTAAACTTTTTTTTCCATGTAACAAAATATATTTACTAGCATAATTTATCATATCATTTTATTAATAATAACCCTTATGTTTTTATACATTTCCATTTCTCTTTTATTTTGAGATAAGAGTGACTAAGGTTAATTCTGGACTTAATACTCATTGTTAAATAAGTAGTGAACACTTTAATAAACAAGACTGATTATAGTTGGTGTGTGTGTGTGCTGTTTTTATTAGAGGCAAGCTAAACCAGCATGTTTTTAGCTGGTTTCTTATTCCTTTCACAGAACACTGGCTTCAAGTCAAGGTTCCACCCATCATTAGTTGAATAAATTTAGACAAATCACTTAAGCCCACTCAGTCCTATTTCCTCACAGTAAAATAAAGAGGCTGAAATACACACGCTCTGAATTTCCTCAAGTTCTAAAATAAGATCACATACTATGGAGATTATTGCCACATTGAATGTTCATGTATCAGGACGAGAGTTCTGAAGACAGGCAAAGCCTTGGTGCAGGGCCTGCGGCCTGTGTGCTGTCGCTGGATCACGTCCGACTCTCGGCGACCCCGTGGACTGCAGTCCACCAGACTCCTCTGTCCATGGAATTTTACAGGCAAGAATACTGGAGTGGAGTTGCCATTTCCTTCTGCAGGGACTCTTCCAGATCCAGGGATCTAACCCGCGTTTCCGTGTCTCCTGAATTGGCAGGCGGATTCTTTACCCCTAGCGTCACCTGGGAAACCCCCAGTGCCTGCTATGCTTCTAATACTTCAGCATGAAATATAAAGTTTACTGTTGGTTTTTTGGGCTTCCCTTGTAGCTCAGCTGGTAAAGAATCTGCCCACAATGAGGGAGACCCTGGTTCACTTACTGGGCCTTCCTGGGTCAGGAAGATTCTCTGGAGAAGGGATAGGCTACCCTCTCCAGTGTTCCTGGGCTTCCCTGGTGCCTCAGATGGTAAAGAATCTGCCCACAATGCAGGAGACTTGGGTTCGATCCCTGGGTTCATGAAGAGCCAGACACAGATTTTTTAATTACAGAATTCTTGCTACAGATTTTTTAAATCATGTTTAAGGTTTTTTTTTTCCTTTTTTTTCTATTCTGTATTTCTAAGAGCATTTATCATGGATAGAATCTGGTTTTAGTAAATGCATTTCTGCACTAAGATAATATTCTGTTAATGTAGCAAAATATATATTTCCTAATGTCAAATAATTTTTACATGTTTTAACTGGGATAAGGAGGAGGAGAAGGGGATGACAGAGAATGAGATGGTGGGATGGCATCATGGACTCGATGGACATGAGTTTGAGCAAGCTCCGGGAGTTGGTAATGGGCAGGGAAATCTGGTGTGCTGCAGCCCATGGGGTCGCAAAGAGACGGACACAACTGAGCAACTGAACTGAACTGGGATAAATGCTATATAATATGATTAGGTTTTACAAATGTGATTTGTTGGCTTATATTCATTAACATTCTAATATTGACAGCTTTTACACTTACATTTTTCTTGACCTTGGAATATAAATTTTCTTTTTCCTACTGTTTTTGGTATAAAAGTTATACAAGCGTCATAAAGCAAGTTGCAGGCATGTGTGTGTATTTGTGTGTGTGTGTGTTTATTCATAATCACTGGATAAATGCTACAACAATGATGATTATATGTTATTCATATTTTAAGGATCAAATCACCTGTTTGAGCTATCAATAGAATTTGAGTGATTTGTCTTACTTAACCAATTTTTCAATGGTTATAAATATATTCTTGTTTTTTATTAAATTCTGACTCAATTTGTATAAGCTGTAGTATCATCTTTAGAGAACTACTGCCCAAAGCTTTTTTTCTTCTAACTAAAGTATAATTGACTTATTATCTTAGTTTCAGGTAAACACCACTGTGATCTGATATTTTTAAAGGTTACACTCAATATAAAGTTATTATAAAATGTTGGCTATATTTCCTGTGCTGTATATTATATCCTTGTATCTTATACCTATTAGTTTGTACCTCTTAATCCTCTTCCCTTATATTGTTGCTCCCACCAGCCTTGATCCCTCTGGTTTATTTGCTTTATTTTCTAGATTCCACCTATAAATGAAAACATAAAGTGTTTGTCTTTCTCTATCTGATTTATTATATTAAGCATAATACCCTGCATGTCCAACCATGTTGTTGGAAATGGCAAAGATTTCATTATTTATGGTTCAGTAGCATTCCATTGTGTAATGTATACCCATCCGTTGATGGGCAGTTAGGTTTCTTCCATATCTGGGCTCTGTGAGAGACCTCATTATTACCATAAGGGCTGAAATAATTCAGAGGTAGTCACATTTTCTATCACATTCTCACTTACCTGTCAATATTTGTAAGTACAGAAGGTGGAGGAATAATGGAAAGCAACAGTGGATTTTCTAAGGTTAATTCACTGGTGACTCCAACTGAAGCTGGATACCTTCTATTTTTACCAAAGTAAATAAACAGGCTTCAGTATCTGGTCTGCAGCCAGTGATTTGGTGAATGTGTGTTTGCCCTTCCTGACAAGTCTTGAAACCACAACAGAAGGTGTTTGGGGTTTATACCTGGCAAATCCAACAGTACACTTCCATTCACTGTGCTATCTCAGGCTCCCATTGATCTGTGACTGTATCCACAGCTTAGTCTGAAAGAAACGGAAGTGTTTTCATCACTGAAATAATATGAAACCAAATCATTCTATTGTTGATACCATATTGCTAGATCATAGAGAACAGAAAATATCATAGGCTTAGAGGGAAGAAGTGAATCCCATGAAAATATTGGATCTTGATATAGTTTCTGTGCAAAGAAGAGGGTTACAATAATCTAGGATGATCTGGGTATTACTTTTATACTATAGAGGAAGATATGCCTCTATCACTTTAAAAGACATACATCTCTTGTTAGACCTTTTTGGATTTTAGAAGAAATAAACCCTAAAGTTAAGGATATTACACATGATATGACATGTGGTCTAAAATGCTGTACTTTGAACACAGAACAAGGAAAAAGCAAATGTACCTATATGATTTACACTTGAATGTGAGCAGTTTTCACATTTGGACCTTATCATTGAACCAATAGGATTGGTTGATGTGTGTTCGATGGACAGACTATTGTATGCAAGTTTTGTCAAGGACTTATATCTGAACCCTAGTGACTGTACATAGGTTTGTATGGTCAAAACTATGGTTTTTTCCAGTAGTCATGTACAGATGTGAGAGGTGAACCATGAAGAATTGATGCTTTTGAATTGTGGTGTTGGAGAAGACTCTTGAGAGTCCCTTGGGCTACAAGGAGATCAAACCAGTCAATCCTAAAGGAAGTCAGTCCTGAATACTCATGGGAAGGACTGATGCTGAAGATGAAGCTCCAATACTTTGGCCACCTCATGTAAAGAGTCAACTTATTGAAAAAGACCCTGATGCTTGGAAAGATTGAAGGCAGGAGGAGAAGGTATCGACAGAAGATGAGATGGTTGAATGGCATCACCGACTGGATGGACATGAGTTTGAGCAAACTCCGGGAGATAGTGAAGGACTGGGAAGCCTGGCATGCTGCAGTTCACGGGATCGCAAAGAGCTGGACATGACTGAGCAACTGAACAATGACAGAGTGGCTGCACACAGGGTTTTGAAGCAAAGGCATGCCTTCTTCTCCAAAGAACTACTCTACTTTTGAGAAACATTCTCTGTGTTTCTACTGAGTCCGCCAGATGATTAAATGCTAAATTATGAAACTCCAGGTGTCTTTGCAAACAAACCTGCAAAACATCACTTGCTTTTCACTTGTTCTACTTTGATACAAATTTGCCTGTGCTGAGAAGCACACCATGGCTCTTTAGAAATGGTTTAAATTGTATCAGTGATAAGTGAGTCTTAAAGCTACACAAAGTTGTAACAGAACTCCCATCTTATCTCCTTATACTGCAATTCTGAGTGATAACTGCTTCTACCAACAATCTTGGTATCTTGGGGGGAATGCCCAGTGACCTGTTTACTGAATGGGAAATATGTGAACCTGGTTCAGAGAGAACTCTGCCTCATAGCAGGTACTCATTTCAAGATGACAGTAACAGAATGACTACCCCATTCAGGATCAGCCTTAATTAGCACATTTAGTTACTCACCATGCCTGGAAAGACAGATGACCTGAGTGTGAAATGAATAGTGACCTAAGCTTCTGCATGGCTGTTCAGGGATTTGGAGAGAAAGACTAGGTTCCAGTTACAAGGGACTTGGGGAAAGAGGAATGCCAACCGACTCAGAAACATGCTGTTACATGTGTGCAGTGTGGAAGCCTTCCAAAGGTCCCTGAGTACAATGGAAGCACTTGATGATCAGGCAAATACGTGACCCAACTTACCCACTACTCCATATAAGGAGTGAAAATTCAGACTTCAAAGCCGACAGAGATGTAACTGTGGTTGTCAGTGTCTTCAGGGAAGATTACTCTATTTTACTGTTTTTGAGCATTGACACACATGACTCGGTCAAGCTTTCTTTTTTTAAAAAAATTTTTTTGGCCTCGCAGCATGAGATCTTAGTTCCCCAACCAGGGATTGAACTTATGGCCCCTCCACTGGTGTGCAGACTCTTAACCACTGGAGCACTGGGGAAGTTCCTAGTAAGCCTTCTTAGTTTGCCCCTGGTGGACGGATGTGTGAGTATTTCCTCTGTAGAGTTTATACGGCCCTTTTAGGAACCAAACGTTTCACAGAGGTTTCCATTTTAACTCCCCATCTTGCAATCAAGAGCACTCATGCCTTCTTTCCCCTGCTTGGGTTTTAAAAGCCACTAATCACTTGTCCTTCACCCCCAAGACAGAATTACCTGCCCTCCTCATCAAGTTGGGAACCCACCATTCTTGCTCTCGATGACCTCTTCACTGCTGATAACTCTTACTTCCCTTTCTTTCTGGCAAGCATGTGTTGTCGTTGACGTTTAGTCGCTAAATCATGTCAGACTCTTTTGTGACCCCATGGACTATAGCCTGTGGGGCNTCACTGTTTCCACTGTTTCCCCATCTATTTGCCGTGAAGGGATGGGACCAGATACCATTATATTAGTTTTCTGAATGCTGAGTTTTAAACCAGCATTTGCACTCTCCTCTTTCACCCTCAAGAGACATGAAAATATTTTTTATCAAATTAATATTTAGTTAGCATTTGTAGGTATTTTATAGAGTTGTTTGAATGTTGCACCGTTCAGCTGTGAGATGACTCATGTCTTTCCAGTACATCAGACCTTTTTAATACTCATCTATATTTTATTTGCATTACTAAAGTTTACATGTAGAATGCATACAGCTACACAGTGATGCTGTGTCTAGATCTAAGGTATAGTACATATAATCACAGTGATTATAATAAAACATTCTGATTATATAACATTATATAACATTCTATGTAACATCCTATTATATAACATTCTGATTTTAATGCAGAACTTAATATGACTTAATAATAAATTTTAAATTACCAATTTAAATGCATTTAGAAATCAGGAGTCTATTGTCAAATCTTATGACTCTATTCAAAAACAAAGTATAACAGGATTACTTAGTTGTATCATATTTTCTTAAAACTAAAATTGTAGGCACTGTTTATCTAGAGTTTGAAAAGTACTGTTCAGTGCATCTACCCTCAAATGCATGCTTAGTTGCTTCAGTCGTGTCCAACTCTTCATGATCCCATGGACTGTAGACCACCAGGGTTCTCTGTCTGTGGGATTTTCCAGGCAAGAATACTGGAGTGGGTTGCCATTTCATTCTCCATAATCTCAAATAACATAGTTATTTTGGCATATTGCTGTTATAAATTATGCCTTATAATTTATTATAAGAGACCTGGAGCTTTAGAGGCTGTAGTATAACTGCTATGTAAAATCTGTGATACTCAAGTACACAAAATAGATGTAAATGCACACATATTAGAAAGGCTAAATGAAGGTCTCTTAGAGATTTTTTCTTAAAATGATGTTTCCTGGAACTGTCTTGAAAACAAGATTCTAAACACATTAACCATGATTGGGCAGTTTACAGAAGCACTAATAGTGAAGGGCAAATAAAGTGCCTTTTCTTTTCTAACTAAATATTAAGTTAGCTCAACTTCAGCGTTGCCTGAGTTGCAATATGCATTATAGAATACAGAGCTAATTGCCTTAGTGTTTCAACCCTCCAAGCAGTGCAGATGTTATGCAAATGTTTTAGTGCTCATTTTCAGAAAGTAAACAATTGTGGTAAATTTTGCAAGGGTATTTTCTTTTTTCACATTAGCACTAAACTTCCCAAAATTGTTGTTAGCTACAATGTTAGTGCTCAAATAAATTGAAATTTTTGTGGGGCAAAAACCTGTCAGATATGGAAGTAAAATGGATCTTTTTTTTTCTAATTGTGAAATCCTATTATATTAGAAAGCAATGATGGAGTTAAATAGAACAATTAGTATCATATAGGCATCCTAATTTGATGAAACACGTTATTGGTGCCCAGACAACAAGAACCCACTCCAGTATTCTTGCTTGGGAAGTTCCATGGACAGAGGAGCCTAGTGGGCTACAGTCCATGGGGTTGCAAGAGTTGGACATGACTTAGCAGCTAAACCACCACCACTACCATCTTTAATAAGTATATAATACACACAGGTTTATTTCTTCACATGAAAATTATACTTAGAAAGCTTTCAAGATTTTTCATAATCCTGTGTTTATTTTGTGTTGACAACAAAGATGAATTTAGGAAAAAATTCCATTATTACCAAATTCTCATAAAGATGACTTTGGAATTCAGTAGCAAACTAATTTGTAATCATTTGTAAGTATATCATCCATGTGGCTTAGAAATCTGAATCTTAACCATGTGTAAAAATTCCTCTCATAGGAAGGTAGAGTGTCAATGTTTCTTGATGGTGGGAATTTGATGGGGTTTCCAATTGCTGCTAGAACAAATGACGACAAGCTTGAAGGCTTAAAATCATTATTTTAGGTTTCTGCAGCTCAAAAATTCCAAATTCAAGATGTCAGCGGGCCCAGTGCTCCTTCTGAAGTCTCTAGGGGATGTTCTGTTTCCTTGTCTTTCCCAGTTTCTAGGGATCGACTGCATCCCTTGACTCCCAGCTCATTCCTTCCTCCTCAAAGCCAGCAAACTAAATCTTCAGAGCCCTCTCTCCTTTCTGTCCTTTGCTTCCATTGTCACACCTCATTTTCCCCCTCACCCATTTCCTTAGGAGGATTACATTGGGCCCATCCATGTCATCCAGAATATTCTCCCTATCCCAAGAAACTTAGGGACTTCCCTGATGGTCCAGTGACTAAGACTCCATGCTCTCAATACAAGCGGCCCAAATTCAACCCCTGGTCAGGGCACTAGATCCCACAGACCACAACTAAATGATCCTGCCTGCCACAGTGAAGACAGGAGATCCCATGTGCGGCAAGCAAGACCCGGTGCAGCCAAATAACAAATAATACACTTTAAAAATAAACAGCTAAATGAATATTATTAGGAGATTTAGCTTAGGCATGTCTGCAAAGTCTCTTTTCCGTGTGTAGCGGGTAGCCTCTGAAAGATTTGTCCACCTGGAACTTCAGGACATGACTTTATTTGGAATGAAGATCTTTGTAGATGTAATTAAAGATCCCAAAA